CTGTAATAGACCTCATAATTATTTATCTGAGAAATACACACAGGAGTTGTTTGCTGTTCAGTGCGTTTGAACCATTCAGCTGATTTTTATTATTAATAACTATATTAAAAAAAATCTACTCTGGGTTTCTGCAGACTGATTGATCAATTGGGTGTCCTGTCCTTGGACTCTGTGATATAAAATAGGGATAATGTGACATGATGTCATTCCAACGATGCAACCATAGCAGAGCACAGAAGCTCATTATATATATATATATATATATATATATATATATATATATATATATATATATATATATATATATATATATATATATATATATATATATATATATACCGGTATATATATATATAAAATTAAAAATTGGCCTTTAAAAGGTCAAATGTGAGCAAAAATGTGGATTAATTGTTATTTTCCATCAGATGTGTGATGATACATTGAACATAGTCGGGGTGGACAACAAAACTGTAATCTTAAAGTAAAAACCAGCTGTTTAGTGACATTAGGTTTGTTGCTCCTAACTTTTGAGGAAAAATGAAACTTTTGTCTTTTTCTCGCAATTTTTAAAAGTTTTATTTTCATCCTCTCCTCCTTTGCCCTCCAGGTGTGATGCCAGAACGACAGTTTTCTGGAACCCAGTTTGTTTGCAGCGTTGTGGCGTCTCACGTCAGCCACCAGCCCTCCACCAGCTTCAGTTTTGTCTGGATCGCCCCACCGCCTGGCACCGGCTGTGTGAATTTCCTGTAAGTCACACGTGCGATCCATGTGAATAAAACATAACTAACAAAGAACGAACAAGCAGATGGGTGGCCTAGTGCTCCAGGCTCAAACCTTTAACAGCCTCCACGTGTCGACCTCAGACACGGAAGTCATAAACGTATCTGTTAATGTTGTGTGAACGGCTAAAACAGGCTGATCAGCGAACATCATGAACGGTTCTCCCTGTCTGAACAACAGAGAGAGGAACTCTGTCCTGTAGTAAAGAGACAGAGTTAGTGCCTTGCTCAATGTGGCATGTGGAATGGCAGGTGTGAGTGAGTGAATGTGTGTTTAGCCTGCAGCGAATTAACAGAAATATCTTCATCCTCTCATTCAGCTCATCACAGCCCCCCCCCCCCCCCCCCCCACCACCACCACCACCACCACACACACACACACACACACACACACACACACACACACACACACACACACACACGCACACACATACTGAAATGTGTGAGCGGCTGGTCAGATCCACCCATCCTCCGAGGATGGGGGGGAAGCACATTTATCCTTTCTGCTCATAAACAAACAGGATGATCCTCTCTGTGATGTTAAAGGGACGTTATGGAAGTTTGACAGCCAAAACATGTATATAAATAATAATTGTCTTCTTCATACATTCTCCTGCTATGCCCTGGTCCTGTAGAATGAGCCCTGGCATTTTTACTGTGATTGCCTGTTTTTCTGTAAAATCACAGAAAAAGAGAGCTGCTCGGGTCGAGCAGGCTGCTTCATGCGCGTTCACGCTCAGACATAGCCCTCCAAACCGTTCTTAAATGGTACAGATACAAAAGACGTCACTGGCGCGGTAGCTCACCTGGTAAGACATCGGACTTTCGTGCAAGAAACCCAGGTTTGATTCTGGATGTGAACATAGTTTATTTAGAGTTTATTTTTTACATTAATGGTATATTTTTTTACACTAAGATGCCCAAATTTTTATTTGAGACTCACCGAACGACATTGAATTCACAGATAAAATAGATGTGGGTTCAACTTTCATTTTGGAACAATTTTTCAAGAGCATGCAGGAGGACTGACCCATCTTAAACCTTTGTCGGCTGTGCTGAAGAGAAAGGTACAGAACCAAATTATTTAATTAATTAGCTGCACGTTCTCCTGTCCTCTGTCCTCCGGGCCACACACACACACACACACACACACACACACACACACACACACACACACACACACACACACACACACACACACACACACACACACACACACACACACACAAACGCACACACAGAGCTGACTGTCTCAGCTGCTATTTTTGTTAAGGAGTGTGCACGTACAGCATGCGCCCCTCGTGCACGAGCCTACTATTGAAGCTGCCGTTACGCTTTTGGCCAGAGGGGGCAATCGCAAGCATATAAATTCAAAACTCCGTAAAGTCCCTTTAAATAAAGGCAAAAACGAGAAACTGTCACATAAAACATGTTTATGACTTCACTGGGATTTTCATTCCAGCTGAATTCAAACGCACCATGATGATCAGAGAAGCTGGACAGATGAGTCCCCTCATCTGTTCGCTTTTCCCTGAGTCATATCAGTTGTTTGAATTGGAAGCAGATTGCTGAGATTGCATTTTTATCCTCCTGATCATTTCTGTCAGCAAATGATACTTTTTTCCATCCAGTCATGTCAGCTGCTGATTTACAAACATTTCTCTAATGCGCAGAGAAAATGTGGTCAACAAACAGAGTCAGTGGTAGAGTCACATTGTTGTTATCCAATCAGACGCAAGATGTCAGAATATTATGAATAATGAGGAGCAAGACTCAACATCCTGCTGTTTCCCAGGCTGCCAACTTTTTCATTAATCCATGCGTGAGAGTGGTATCACATCCCACCGTGAGCACGAGAAAGGGGGCGTGGGGTTGGGCGACTTGGCCTTTTCGTGTGAGAAACTGGAGGTGTGGCAAAAAAGTGTGCTAAAGCTTGGTTTATGCTTCATGCATTTACTTTCCGCTTGGTGAAGCGGCTCGCGGCTGGAACGCGCTTCACAACTCGCAGCGTTTATGGTTCATGCGGCTCGTCTCTGCGGTGAGCCAATATTCTCCCAAACTAAACGGGGCAGCATGGAGCTCTACGGCATGCACCCAACACTACACCATAGTAGAAGTAAAAATTACTGTTTACAACATGGCATTCCAGCATTTTTTACAGCGTCCTCGTCTTTTCCGACAGTGCGAGCTATTTTTCTCCAAGAATTATTAACAACATGTTGATCACGGTGATCTTTGAGAGCTGAATCATACAAATGTCTGTATTTACGAACCTCTGCCATACTAGTTCTTGCCGGTCCGCCATGTTTTTCCGCGTCCGACCGTCCACGTGGTTAGAAAATTTCCTAGGTGCGCGTTGCGGAAATTTTGGGCCATGCGGAGACGCGGTGGAGGGACGTGGTTGTTAAAATTACGCAATTTCGCCACGCGGAGCCGTGCGGACCTCGCGGACGCGTCAAGCATAAACCAACCTTACGGCAGTCAGATGCATGTGTTTTACGCTCAATGCATGAGAGTTGGCAGCCCTGCATTTCCTGTCCCCCTCTCCTCTGGGTAACTTCTACTCCTGAAACTGGAGTGCCAGAGCTTTTTATCACAGAAAATGACTCAACAGGCATTGAGTTATAGCAGAAATCACAGCAAATGTATTGAAAAAAGTAGTGCAGTCCCACTTTAATACGTAAAAATCTAAATGAAACTGCAGCTTTTTGCTGATTTCAGCCAGCCATTCCTTCTTTTAAAATTCAATGTTATTTTTTTTTAGTTTGTTTTCACAGCCGTGATCATTTATGGGAGGCTGTAGCTGAATGGGAGTGGTTGTCCTCTGATCAAAAGAGGAGTGGTGCAATCCCAGGTCCGCATAGGCCACATGTCGAAGAATCTTTGAACCCTCAAAATTACACCCAGGTGGTGTACAGACAGCCGCCCGCTGTTTTCAGAGGTGGGTCAATTGCAGAGAAATAAATCCTCCAAAGAGAATGAAAAATCATTTTTCAATTATACTCACTGAAATCATTTTTTAATCCTAATGTCACAACTTGGACAAAGACTCCTATGGTAAAAAATATTAGGGAAATTATCAGCAGTATCCAGTATGGGAAAATATTTAGTGTCTAGTTTTAGTTTTATTTTTACTTCAAGACTTTTTTTCAAAGTATTGCAAATATTTGCAGCCGTGTGCCATTGCAGATGACAGCAGGGGGCTACAACTGTATGGCAGTATGACTGAAACTGACCTTATCAAAGTCAGTCAGTCACACTTCAGCTGGCTCGCACAGAAACACACAGACACTCACACAAACATCCTGCTACAGCTCTCGGCCGTCAGCTCCATCACGTTGGACAGAGATACACACTCCCAGGGTTCAGGGCAGGAATTTAACCAAACCACAGTTCTGGATTAGATAAATTCAAACTGTCAGTGTTCCTTTACAGACTGAGGCTTTGTCAGATAAGTGGCTCTTACCAACAATTTGCACATCTTAATTTATATTAATTGACATCCATCCATGCATCCATCCACCCATCTATTCATCCATCCATCCATACATCCATTTTCAGCCGCTAATCTGGAGTCGGGTCACGCGGGCTGTAGCCTAGGTCGAGAGGCCCAGACTTCCTCTCCCCAGCCACTTGGACCAGCTCCTCCGGGGAAAGCCCAAGGCGTTCCCTGGCCAGGTGAGAGACATAGTCCCTCCAACGTGTCCTGGGTCTCCCTTTAGGCCTCCTCCCGGTTGGCCCAGAAAACCTCACCAGGGAGGCGTCAAGGAGGCATCCTGACCAGATGCCCGAGCCACCTCAACTGGCTTCTCTCAATGTGGAGGAGCAGCGAATCTACTCCGAGCCCCTCCCAGATGACCGAGCTTCTCACCCTATCTCTAAAGGAGAGCCCAGCCACCCTGCGGAGAAAACTCATTTCGGTCGCTTGTTTCCACGATCTCATTCTTTCAGTCACAACCCAAAGCTCATGACCATAGGTGAGGGTAGGAACGTAGATCGACTGGTAAATCGAGAGCTTTGCCTTCTGACTCAGCTCTCTCTTCACCACGACAGACCGGTACAACGCCCGCATCACTGCAGATGCAGCACCAATCCACCTATCGATCTCACGCTCCAGCTTTCCCTCACTCGTGAACAAGACCCTGTACTTAAACTCCTCCACTCGGAGCAGGACCTCACCCCTATTAATTGGCATATTTCAGAAAAGTTTTTCGAGTATTTACAGCAACAAGACTTAACTTTAGCTTCACACAACGTAAATAATATCATCCTTTACCCAAATACTCCCCTCCCCAGATTAATGCAAGGACTTTGTTTTGCAGAAGTCTCCTCCGAGTGTTTAAATTAACGCCACAGACATCCTGTGTCCTTCAGAGGGCTGAAGCTGGAGCGCTGCTGCATTAATACAAGTCATGGTAGCAGTTTTATGGCTGATGCTGTGGGAGAGTCCCTGGTAACACATCACTCACAACCTTGTGATGGAGTGCAGTGACGTGGGCATCTAAAAGAATTTAATTTCCTGGACGGCTGTAAATCGCCACCCAAAGAGAAGGCGAGGCCTTGGACAGGAGGAGATGGAGGAGCGGGGAGACTGCAGACCCAAATAAAAGTTATTGCTCTCTCTCTCTGAAACAACGCTGAGCTTTTTCAGAAATGTGAACAGATTTGTCATGCATGGCTGCGACTGCCGAGTGCGGTCCATAAAGCAGAAAATCTCTACAACGAATAGATTCAGTGTTGTCTGCAAAAGATCTTTAACTTTGTGATTACTGGGAATCCTGATAGATACATAAACATGTAGATGAACCCAGAAAAGAAGGAAAAAGGAATCTCTCAGGTCATCGTCTAGACTTTTGTCTCTTGTGCATATTTTTCAAGTCCTGACTCCTTTTTTTTCTTCCTTCTTCCTGTTTGGATCCCACTTTAAAAGCCAAAGTTCAAAAAAAAAAAACTTTGAGAGATCTGAA